GTGGGTATACCAGGAAACTGCATTTTCAAAAATCCAGGACATTAGCCAAGTTAAATTTTACTTAAATAAAAATCAAGAGACTGATTCAGCAGCAAGCACCTAATATGCAGAGTAAACCGGCAGATAAGGAATTGTAAAGAACAATTGCTAGGGGTTTTATTTATACCTTTAAGAAATCTGAAACAGCTATTTGAACTATACACAAGCACTATAAAAAAATACACAAACCTAAAGCTATAACATGTTAAGAACAAACACCAGGTTTATATTAACAATCTCCAAATTATATTTATTGTATAATACCCACCAAATTCTTACTCCACCACTCTACCTAGGTACTCTGATGTCACTGTAGTCCCAAGATATGAAAAGGCTATGATCACTAAACCAAACAGCATCCTGAGGAACTTGCTGGGTCCAAGATCCTTTCCAAGCAAGAAGACTGGTTGCATAGTAGGAAAGACCAGGATAACATTATTTATTGGTTTAGAGTGAAAAGGCCAATAGTTACTATTTCCAAACAGGTTTATGAGTGCACCTTCATGCTAAACATAATATTAAATTATGGCCCCAAGAAGCCTACAGACTTTCAAGAAGTCATGAGAACAAAGCAACACATGTCAACAAATTTATCACTATAATCCCGAAATGAAACATATCTACACAACCAAGAAATAAAAAAAAAAGTTTTAAGGAAATGATTTGAAGGACCAAGTTGAAATGATCTTAAACTGATTTAAATAAGGGAAAAGTGCAAATCAGGCTGGCAGCAGCAAGAACTAGAGTGAAGACAAGCAGCAACAAGCAGGTGACTTTTTCAATTTGAGTCCATCAAATTACCTCGGCAAACGGAAAAATAAAAGGGTAATTGTTACCACATTTGTTAAAAGACATCCCTACCCACCCACTTAAAGTTAAAACAGAAATAGAAAACCTTAGATTCTATTAAAATTAAAACGTCTGATATTAGAAAGTCTGTTTCATAAGAGCAACATACCAAAGATAGGTACATGTTTTTCAGTTTAAAAAAAATGTAAAAAACAACCAGCATTGGAAAGGAACCCTAGTGCACTGCTGGTAGGAAGGCAGACTGGTGCAGCCACCATGGAAGAAAGCAGTATGGAGATTCCTCAAAAAATTAAAAATGGATCTGCCTTATGAACCAGAGATTCCACCTCTGGAAACGTATCTGAGAAAACCCCAAACACTAATTCAAAAGAATATATGCACCCCTACGTTCATTGCAGCATTATTTACAATTGCCAAGATGTGGAGGCAACAAAAGTGCCATCAACAGATGAATGGATGAGACAGCTGTGGTACATTTTCGGGGGGTGGGGGGGAGAATCTTACCTTTCGCAACAGCATGAACTGACCTGGAGAGTATTATGCTAAATGAAATAAGCCAGTCAGAGAAAGGCAAGTATTGTACCATATGATTTCACCTATACAAATGTGGTCTAACAAAATAAACTAACAAAATAGAAGGACTCAAAGATACAGAGAACAGACAGACAGCTGGCAGACTTGAGGGAGTATGAGAGGCTGAGTTAAAAGGTGAAGAGATTAAGCAAAAAAATTAACTCAGACAAAAAAATAATGTAAAGAAATTTAAAATTTTCAAAAAAAGGATTAACAAATTTATTCAGTAGGCTGTATGGTGAAAAATTATCTAACATGGTGATGATGAAAAATAAAAATAATTTTAACAGAAACTGGGCCCAAGTTCCCCTACCAATTTAGCAGCAATTTCAATAATTATAAAGTACTATAACTTTTTATCTTCATACCATTAACCTCCCCCAATCATAATTAATGATAAGAAACTACTATCTTTTACTAATGACTTCAAAATAAGTAATATAATTTCCTCAATCTAGTATCTCACACTTCTTTAGCTGTTTAGTTTTTCATAGCCATTATATTCGCTGGGTCTCACAACCACCCAGTGAGGTAATACAGATTATCCACTCCCATTTTACAGATAAAATAACTGGAGACCTGATAAGATGAATGAATAGCTGAAGGTCAACAACAGGCATTTACTGGCAGGGTATGAATTCCTAAGCCAGTCTTTTGTGTGTCCTTTCGATAAGATGATGTCTTTAAAATAGGAACACAAAACCTTATATAGATAATATAAATTAAGTAAACTTAAAGGTTATAAAGGTTAAAATGGACAAGAATACATTACTTCAAATTTACTGTGCTAGAAATCACTGATTTTACCCTGGCCTAGTATCCCCTTCATTTTTAAAATATAATTATTTTAGTTTAGCACCTTCTAGAACTCTAACTGCCAAAAGTGTTCTGACACTTTTAGTGAATGCAAAAGTAAAACAAAAAGTCTCTTCATGGATGCAAACTAAATACTAAATGTCAGCTGAGCAGACTGAAAAACCACTCAAACTCCTGAAAAAACTGGGAAGCAAATGGAAAAAATTAGAATCTTAATTATAGTTATTCTTACGGATATTGGCATTCATAGAAAGGCAGTTGTGGACAAAGCCCACAAACCCCGATCATGTTAAGTTCTCTCTTAAGCTTAAAATAAATGAAATAAAAACTCTCTAAACAACCTCATAAAGATGATACAAAAGCCATGTTAATTCAATATTCGTGGGGCTAAACACAAGCAAGTACTTTCAAAAGAACTAGAAATTGTGTTTAAAATTCACACTCAATATTCCTTGCACGGTATAAATATGAATATAAGCCTCATTAACACCCTTTGCAATTTATTGTCTCTAAACTTCTGCTAATTCCACTCCTCAAGCCTCACTGGGCCCCTTCTCCAACCTCTCACCCCTGTGTAAATGCGACACACCAGGCCTCATATATAGGCCTCTTGCCTTTTCCTCTAACAACTAGGACCTTTGTTCTGAGACTCGGTTTTTCACCCCACTCAATAGCTCTTTCAACTTTCTATCCCGTATATATTTTGGTTTTGTTTTTAGAGAAGAGATTCCGAGCCTCGACTTTCCTGGTCTTTAAAAAATAAAATGCCAAAAATATCTATAGAGACTGGAAAGAACTAGAAAGTTACACAAACAAGTAAAGGGCCTACAAAAAGGAGTCAAGCCCGGGGTTCGGGTGATTTGGCAGCCCAGGCAACATCGGGGAACGCCGATTAGAAAGGGGAAAGCAGGGGAGCAGCTGGAAGTCCACTCGGGACCGATTTCCCTGTGATATTAAACGTCCCGCCCACCCCCACCACGCACACACCAATGTTTTACACATTAAGAGTCCCTCCCCCAATTAACTAACGAAGCAATTAAACTATACCCACAGCCAGACGAGATGCTGAAGCTAAACCTCCCCTCAGACAACCCGCCTTATCAGAAACAAATCTGTGTAAGGGTTTAGGAGCAGCCCCTTCCATTCTCTTCTCACCACAGGAGAGTAACTCCCTCCCGTGCCTCAGTAGGAGTTTCAGTGTCTGAAGTTAGTTTCCCCCAATGTGCATATTTTTTAAATCTTCATTAATTTATCCCTCTAAAAATTTAGCCTTTCTCTTATTCTGAAGAAGGGAGCGACACAGAGGACAGGATTTAAGACTTTACAACCTTCGCCCCTGTAACTTGTTTCTTAACTAGAAACCCACTCACTGCGAAGAGCAGAGGAGAGAGGGGGAACTAAATGGACAAATGTTATAATAGGTTTTATGTAATCCACATATAAATAAATTAATCGCCCGACTCGCTCTGAAGGCTAATAACGGCTGGAGTGACAATCGGTCCACCACCACCCCCAAGTCCTGGACCCCCTCCCCCCAATTCCCATGCTAAACTATTGAGAAGGATGCTCCGCTGCTCTCCGCCAAGTTTCTCGGCCTCTTTTCATGCCCGCACCCCCGTGCCCGTCTCGTCGTTATCCCCCTCAGCTTCAACTTCCCACTGCCAAGCCTGGACCCCGTCTCCGGCCCAGCCTGCCCGCCCGCAACCGTCCCTCTTGGCAAGAAACCCCTTACTGCGGTCTGAAGTCACTCCGGCCTCTACCTCCTCTGACCCCCGCTTCCCACAACTGTTGTCACTCGAGCTGCTCCCTAGTTTCCATTTCCGGGCCGTCCCAGGCCCTGGAGCCTCCCTTCTCCCGGTTTCCGGGCCCCCATCCCATTTCCGGGGAACCCTTGCCGTCTTCACACTCCCCACCTGCACTTCCGGCCCCCCACTTTCTCTCTTCCTAGACGCCCTCCAAGCTCCAAAGCCCACTTCCGGCCCCCCCACCCCCTCCGGGCTCCCTAACACCCGCACGCCTCACCCCGGCTCCGAGAACGGCCCTCCTCATGGCGAAACAGAAGGGGGCACCCACCGACCGCCCCCCTCAGCTCCCGCTCGGTCCGGGTCCCTCCGGCCGCGGTCTCCCTCGAGCGCCTTGCCAGTCAACCCCCGGCCCCGTCCTTCCGCAGTCCCGCCGCCGGCGCCGGGAGAAGGCCGAGCGGGGGCCAAACCGCGGCGCTGACACAACTGAGCTTCCTGGGACTTTCTGTTCGAGCTCCTCCACCCTAACCCCGTAACCACCCCCCCCAACCTCAACACATAACCCTCCCCCCAGGCCTGGCCCCCACCGCCCGCAACTGCGCCTCAGTTACCTAGTTTGGCCCCAAAGTCTCCGGTCCGGACTCGGTGGCGCGGCTATAACTTCCACTCGCTCCCCCCACCCCCCGACGGCGGCAGCGGTGGTGGCGGCGGCTCCTTGGGTCCCTTCAATTATCAGCTGAGCCGCAGCACCGCGGCCGGCGTGCGCCTCCGTCCGCGCCGCCTCCCTCCTCGCTATTCCAACACCCTCTGGGAACTACTTTTCCCTCCGGCTGCGCAGACGGGCTCGTCCGCGGGACAGGCCCCGCTGCCTACTCGCGGCCCATCACATCGCCCCTCCCTCTCCCAACGCCCGAATCCACTTCCCCAGCGGCCAGCAATCTACTCCCGATCCCTTCGAGGGACCAGGAAGGGGAATATGAAGCTTCACTTGATATCCCTCCGCCGGGGTCACCCCCCGCCTCTTCGTGGTAGCAGGAACTAATTCCCCTTCGGGTCACCGGAGACCTGAGGCAGAAATTTCATGGAGCAGAGTTCCCTGAAACCCTTGGGAAAGGGGGCATCACCCCAACTTAGAAACCCCCTGTTAGCTCAAAAGCGGGGTTCGATTTAAACTAGGGCTTTGGCCTCATGACCCCAATCAAACCCCGCCCCTTCCTGGTTGTCTTAGCGACGACGGTGGCGTCCCAAGATGGCGTCGTGGCTGCCGGAGACTCTGTTCGAAATTGTAGGACAAGGCCCAGCGCCGTGCAAAGACTATTACCAGTTATTGGTCACCCGATCCCAGGCAAGTGCGAGCCGCGGTTTACCTTTTCTATTACCCGCCCGCCCTGGTGGAGTTCCGACCGCCAGGAGCGCTAGGCCGAGAATGACTGGGGCCCGCCGGAAGCGGCCGGTCCCAGCTCCGGGCCCGCAGATTTTCTTCGTCACGTCGGCCTCCTCTGGTCCGCCTGGCGGCCCTCCTGTCCCTTCCCAACCCCAGACCGGCTCGACCCAGGCGAGCTTTCTTTGCCCACCCCCACCCCCCACAACGCCGCCCTCTCCCTTCCTGCCACCTGGGGTTCCTACCCGTAGAGTTCCCTCGACACGAAGAGAAAAAAAAACAGGCTTCTCGGGCTTGCGTGCAACCTCACCTCAGCGTGGGAAGGAGGAAAAGAAAGATTCAGCCAAGTGTCCCGAGGAGGAGCCGGGGGGGGGGCGGGGAGGGGGGTAAGGGGACGATCTCTTTCCCAGGGTAGATTTAAAAAACCTGGGGGATTTAAAAAACCTCATTGTGGTCTTTACGTGGACCACGGCCACATCATAACTTCCTTATTTCTAGTAGGAACTAATCGTCAAGAGCTTTGCCCTTACCTTTCGGGAGCCTTGCTATCCCATTGAAAGTGTTGAGGCGGGTGGTACAAAAATGTTTCGGCTGCTCTGCGCGTCAGCCCCACCCATAATGACATCTGCTGCACAACAATAAGACCGAGGATTATGTTATTGCTGGAGTAAAGTACCCATCGGCCTGTTTTTATGACAACTTTAGCTGTTGAAGGTGGGCTTTTGGATGATTTATTGTGCCCATGAAATGATGGGCTTGAACTGGGCCTCCACTCGGAACACGTTTGTGATTCCTGGCAGAGCTTACTCCTGTCAGTGAGATAGATAATCACGCACCTTGCACTTTAATAGGTGGTATTTCTATAAAATGAAACTTAGAGCTTTGTATTTGTTTTGGTGTAGGTAGAGAGTATTTCATCATCTTTTTCCATGAATGGTTTTTGGAGTTTCTAAAGACCTTTTAAAATAGAAATAATACATATTTTGTTTTTAAATCTAAACATAAAGTTTGTAATATTAATGTGTAATATTAATGTGTAATATTACATGTGTAATATTAATACCACGTGATGACCTGTCAAACTTAAAATTTTAATCAGTTTTTTTTTTCAGGAGTTTTTACACATTTAATTGGAATTTCTTAATTGTTTAAATTTAATTTTTATACTGTTTTTAGGAATGACTATCATTTGCTTTAAGATGTATGATCATGACAATTCTTCACTTTCTATCTTGAGTGGTTGGAACAATTAATATCTTCTTACCCTATTTCTACTGTATTTTTTCATTTTTACTTACCTCAAGTAAGAGTGTTCTAATTTATATTTTATAGTTTTTTCCATAATGTGTCATTTAAAAATTTTTTCAGCGCTGCTTTTTCTTGAGGATCTGGTATTACAAGCGTGCTATATTCTAGTGTAAGCCACAGCAAGTTAAATACTTGCTTACCTTTTTGTTTTAATTAACCATAGGAGTGCTCCTGGCATTAGTTTTCCTCAAGAATGCTTATGTTGTTGATGTTGTTCAGACTTTGCTCTCTAGTCTAACTTGGGCACATGCCTTTCTTTAACTACTCTTTTATGAAATCTACCCCACCCCCAAGTATTCTTAATTTTTTTCTTCCTTTTTTTTTTTTTTTGCAAATATCAAAAACTCTTCTCTATTTTAGGCCCTATTCTTTCCCGAGATGATCCATTTTCTTTTTTTAAGCAGACTAAGTATATTTACTACAGTTCTACTAGTGAGAGTTAATCTCAAATCTTATTAATTCTCTTTTTTAAAGTAAAATTTGTTATAAAAAATAGTAAGCCAAAAAAATAGTCTTTTCAGTCATCTATCTTGAGAATATGCTATTTTCTGACCACAAGGTATTTTTTCTAAGTCTCAACACAGGAAACCAAACATTCAGTAAGAGCTGGTCTGACATAAATAAGTACTAAAACTCTAGAATTAGAATGTGTTTTATAAGATGGACTTTTTTTCTGGAATAACTGTCTAAAACTTACTCTTGTACACTTTCTGCCTTTATTCCCCCAAATGTTGTGTATTATCCAAAACATGCCCCAGGTTTAGATAGATTTTCACTCTTGAGTCCCTTTTTTATACTTTTTTACTGTGTTTACTTTTATTGGCTTTAAAACCAAGTAACTGCATATCTGACTGGATTTGAAGGCAGATATCTCTCTCTTATTAGGGTCATACCACAATTGGCAAAGTCCAGAATATAAATGTTGTGCATAAATATTTCCTTTGCCATCTTGCTTATATAGTATCGTTAAAAAAATTTTTAGGCCCTGGCTGGCGTGGCTCAGTGGGTTGAGTGCCGGCCCTTGAACCAAGGGGTCACCAGTTCACTTCCTGGTCAGGGCACATGCCTGGGTTGCCTGCCAGGTCCCCCAGTGGGGGATGTGGGAGAGGCAACCACACATTGGTGTTTCTCACCCTCTCTTCTTCCTTCCCTTCCTCTCTCTCTAAAAATAAATTAATTAATTAAAGAAAAATTTAGGCTTACAGAGGCATTCCCAATTAATAACTTGATACCATGTTTTTGTTGGGTTTTGTTTTGTTTTGTTTGAAAAAGGGACTTACAGAATACCGCTTGGGGTCAGTGTAGTTTAATGCTCAAATCTGATCTTTATAATGATGAGGAAAGGGTTAGAAAAATCAATACACTACTTTCTAAATCAAAGATCCAATTATTCTTACTATAGATTTAGTGTGTAGTCTTATTTAGGGCCAGGGTATATTTTACACTTAGCTTCTAAGAAAGTTATAAGTTGCGTTCCTGAATGAGGATCCTTTCCTTAATTTTTATCAGCAACTTGGCATTTACTATGGGGATGCAAAATATAAGATCTCTGGCCCCAAAGAATTTATCATTCATTCAACAAATATGTATTGAACACCTTCTGTATGTAAGTCAGGTACTGTTTTAGATGTTAAGAAACATCAGTGAACCAAACAAAGTCCCTCCTTTCATGAAGCATGTTAATATAATGAGGAGAATGTAGTTGAGTCATTTGATTCATATAAACACTTAAATGGTTTAACTTTTGTGTCTTTTTTTTAAGTCCAAAAGAAAATTACCAAGTTAATGAATAGCACAGACATTTTAAAATCGGTGAGTCCAGAGGAAGCAAAAACCACTTTAGAATGAAAGGTCCCGAAGGGTACTATCACCAGTATTTTGTTCTTGAAAGTCTGCCTTCTGTGTGCTCTCAGAGTGAAAGTGTGGTCAGAATTGGTGGCTGAGGTTTACTGTGACAGACACTGGGAAGCTGCTAGAGACTGAACCCATATGCGAAGTAAATGCGAATTGGCAGATACGGCCTCCTGCAGCTAATAACCTAGATGGTTGTCCCAGGAGCACCTTCCTGTTCTACGTGAAAGAAGAATTGGGTGGTAGATTAGGCTTGCTTTACCTATCTTTCTAAATCCTATTCAGAACTCTAAAAGCATACCTGAAGCTAATATCATCTGAAAAAAAATCCAAAAGCTCACTCCCCCAAAACGGCAAATATTTTTGGCATGCTTTAGAGTTGTAACGCTGTGACACACTGAGATTATATGCCAGCCTGTGACAGCAGACTGTTACCTCAGTGACTCCTGAAAAAGCAATTAAAGAAAACTGTAGACTTGGTGACTTTTGTTTGACAGACTTTGCAACGAAGAGTTATGCCAATGCTGTTTCAGGCTACAAACCAATTTTGAAGATTTAAAATTTAAGTGCAGTCTAATGAAAATGTTAATACATGCACCTGTTGACCCAGCAAATTCATACCTAGGATTTTGTATCCAACAACGCTCTCACACGTGCACAAGATATGTGAGCAGAAAAATTCACTAAATTAAAATAATTGTAAAAACATCTTTTCTATAGAATACTGTGCAAACTTTTAAACACTGCAACCTTTTAAAAATGATGCGATGGATCTCTTATTTTATTCAGTAGAACAAATAAAATCTTAACCAGGAACAGCAAATTGCTGGCTTAAACATTGTATGATCCCATTTTAAAAAACTACAATTTTATTTTGTTTTAAATAAATGTTGGAGGGAAAGCTGGAGTGATTTGCTCTTAGGGATTGCTTTCGCTTTCTGCATTACCTATTTCTGAAAGATTGAATTTTTCTATGATGAGCATTTATTTTTATAACCAGAGAAAAGCAATAAAGATTTAAAATGGATAACTCTTACTCAGAGAAGTTGCCCTTCTCTGTGCACCAGCTTCTACCAATTTCACCAGCACCACCTCCCACATTAAATAATAGGCAGCACTAGTAACTGTTGTCACCAAAGATCCTACTGTGTTTTCTTTGGGGGTAGGGGGCGCATCATGTAAATTACAAATTTAGAGGGGCGTAAAATGGATCATAATGCTAACTTGGGAAATTTTAAGGAGACATTAGTCTCTAGAAACTTCTGATCTTACATTTTTGCATTTGTTTTTGTTTTTAATGTAGGTAATCATTATTTTTGAGAAACTAAAGGATTACCCTCTCTTGCCTTTTTGGGTGTGAGATTGTACTAATAAGCTTACAAAAAGATGTGTGGAGGATAAAACAAGGCAAAGGTGGTACACTGAGTAGATTTGTTTGCCCTCCAATAAAGCTTAGAAAACAGAATGTCTCAAGTAAATTGCAATCATATTAAGTAAACACCAGATTGCACATTTCGGGAGCTGAATAGAGTGCAGTCAACTTGATGTTGTGATGGTAATTGCCCAGGGAACCCTAGAACCTCCAAATTGTGCTCTGTTGTAGGCCTGTCCCCCACATAAGGTCCCCAAGAGTCAAGTACATGGAGAAGATGAAAAACAAGAGGAGAGGTGAATGGGTTTGCATCTGCATACTCTTTCCTTATCTCTGATGGAACCCTCCTGCTGGTTGGAACTGAATGTTTCTCAAGACTTCAAAGCTACCTTGTCCATTTTGCCCAGTGGCCACCAGCTATGGCCAAAATGTT